TTACCACCATACGAACTATACCTATCTCCATGACTTAGGGTATACCGTGTGTTATGCCTACTACACCCTTCATTTCAGTTTTCCTTCCGTTTTTCTGTCTTCCGGAAACCTGTTGGTTAGTAAGCGTCGCATATCATTAAATCTTTCGTCTTTTACAACAGAAACATCCTTCCAAACTACAACTTTTCTAGCGTCCCCGGTCTCCCCGGCTTACACGTACTGTTTTAGCTCGTATATCATAGTATAATTGTCTTATTAGTCTGCTATCGTTGAAATCGCGAGAAGCAGTGAATCAATTGCTTTGATACGGTTGGTATAAGGTATTGTATTATAGATATACTGTGCAATGTAAACTGATATTGTGCATCCACTGTTTTATGTCTTCTGATAATAATAATTTTTGTGACCCCAGAAGTGACCTCAAAATTGACCTCGGAACTGACCTCAGAACTATCCCAGAATCCGCCCAATTCGAGGAAGGAGAAGGTCCTGAGCGCCAAATCATTTTGGAAAGACGTGTTCCAACAGGTCGGCTGGAAAGACGATAAAGGGCGTCATTTGGTCTTTGGTTCCCCTTTTGTTCGTATTGATATTACAATTGTTGAATTCATTTTTGTATTAACTAACTCATAGGAAAGTTTGAGGTATTACCAAATAAAGAGGCAGAAAGAACCCTCAGTTTTTGTCACGGTTGAAGAAAATCGGCGACACTGGCAATTCGGAAAATTTACCGACATAACAAGCAGTATTTACCTTGAATGATCACAACTTTCTCGTGAATTGCCCCAAATAACATTTCTCAAACGATAAATCCTATTGTCATTAACAAGTGAGAATCTTGGAGATCAGAGAGCAACTGCTCTTTCTCGGGCAATCTCCCGATATTCCTCACTCTTTGAAAAGTTCTACTCACTTTTCTTTCCAGTTCGCTTTTAGCTTTTACATTACTCCTGTCTTGTCACAAGTTTGTCTGCAAAACAAGTCAGTTCATATCTGACTCGGAAAATAATATGCTTACCATTAACCTTCTTTCGAACTGTCGTACTATCCGATTATTCAGGAACTGACTGAATTTTAGACAGTTTGAGTCAGCTAAATATTACTTGTAGAGACCGATGATTCTAAATGCATGAAGATAATGCTGGTGAGTATGCCCGTGAATAAATTTGACAATTATTTCAATGCTCTTAGCCACATCTTAGCTGAAAGTCATTTGACTTATAATATCCATATGTATTTCTGTAACAGAAGAATATATATTATCAGGTTCTGTTAACTTCTCAGCGTTTTTCATTATTGTGTAATAATGTGATTGACGTGAGGAGGGTAGCTAAGACATAAGAAGTGGGAAGGGACAGTCCGTTACAGTGGCTCGTCAAAGATGAACGCATAATTATTTTGTAGTTATAATTATATCGCGTAGAGATGTGTGTAAGTAGGCTTGTAGGACCACATAGTGTTTTGTCCTTAACATGCAATGCAGGAAACCCTGAAACAGTGTTTTGCCTATGACACTGACTGCAGTTGCCAATATACCAATGCTCTAAACTAATCCATCTTCTACATAGATGTATACTAACATGAGTTCTACACATATACATACGTACCTACACACACACACACACACACACACACACACACACACACACACACACACACACACACACACACACACACACACACACACACACACACACACACACACACACACACACACACACAC